CTGAGAAGGACTGTTTGATGTGACTGACGTTTCGACAACCTGAGCTGAAGCCATCTTCAGAATCAAGTGAAGAATAAAGTCAGATTGGTCATATTTATACTGCCACGATAACAATAGCCTAATTACCTGGATTTGCGTAATTGGCGGCGTCGGTCTAATGAGTGCGCGTCGCTGCTTCGGTGTTGTGGGCGTAAAACAGTGAATGCCTTTTGTTTTTGCAACAATAGGCAGCAACGACTTGAGAGTTGGTTCACCAAGTTTGAGCATCATTCACTAAACTGCTCAATTAACTTACCGGCTCCGTATAATAGGCTTATTATAAACAATAACTCCGCCCACAACACCRAAGCAGCGACGGGCACCCAAAGGACATGCCTCATATTCCAATCTAAAAGGAAACTACGTTATTAGGCTGTGAATACATTAATGTTTGAAGCGTGTTATTTGCCCTCGGATTTCCAACCGACAACATTTATTGAAATAGGTGTATAATGGATCCCGGCTTTAAGCGTGACCAGCGTCTAGAAGCAGACTGAGTTTATTCCCTGTTTTAGAGTGGATTTCATTTAGCGCGAGGAGACGGAGCAAATGTCGCTCGTATGAAGGAGATGTAATTGATGAATAAAAGTTAATTTAACAGCACCAATCAACATAAAGGAARCCATGCGTTTCCTTGTTGCGACAGACGAGATTCATCAGTATTTCTTACCCATGATGTATTCATATACTTTCAGTGAAGTTCTTTGGCCTTTGGTCAAACGTCAAACTTCATGAGCCGAACCTAATTTAGATAATGGAAAAGAAGGCGGTCTTCTTTGATGTCTTAGGTTTAGCTCATGTGAAGTTCTACTTTGACTTATCTACAGTTGTACTTGATTTGAATAATCTTATTTCCGAATATTAAACTTTTATTTTATTTTGAAGGGAGGACAGAAGAACGTGATTATCATGTCTTGTGTAAGAACAGGATGCAATATCGGGTAAGGTGTATTATAGTATTTAAACCGACTCATTGTTATCCACGTCGGCTCACCATTCTCAAACCCTCAATACCAGTCTATCGGAGCGAAACTATTGCAGTCAGGATCTTTAATAACTTACCTTTGTTGGAAACTAATTGTTTTCTGAATGCATTTTTCGTTTAGATTTTTAGATGACACAAATCGTTTGAATGTGGCACTCACTCGTGCACAGCATGCTTTGTTCATCTTTGGACATATGGATACCCTAAAGGTAAACAATAAGGCTAATAAGTGCCTATTAATAAATCCCATGTATATGTAAAGAAATGAAAAGAAATAATTATAACGTCAAATAAGAAATAAACAAAAAGTAATAAGCAGCAATAAATTAATATAAATGACTGAGTAACATACATGAAATGGACGCTCTCCCTTAAAAGTCGTGAGAAGAACTCACCTACGCCTCGTGCTTCTCTTTACACTCCTTTCTGTTTGCTATATTGTTGAACGAAACACGAAAAAGGCATTTTATTTCTTAATTATTTATCTTTCTTTAGAATTTTAGAGGCTGGGGAGACATGCTGAAAGATGCAGATGCCAGAAAACTGGTTTTTCCTGTTGATACTGGTCATGATGTCATTCAAGTCGTCTCCAAGGCAAACCCTCCATCTTATGCTATCAACCATGTCCACCCTCACGCTCCCACCTTGTCATCCTCAACATGCTCAGTGGAAGCTCCCCAGAGTAAAAATAATCATCCAGTTACATTTCATAGGTCTACGAGTTTGGTAGAATCTAGGCCAACGTGCTCAGAGCCAAAACCTAAGTATCAAAGGACGCAGAGCTTGGAAGAAACCTGCGTGCAAAGTAAAGTTAGCAACACAGCTTCTGCAAGGTACACGAACAGAGTTTCTGACCTTACACCAAACCCATTACAAGAAGAAGACATGTCTAAAGATGTATTAACAAGTAAGACTCAAAGCAACTTTGGAAGAAAAGATAACCGGACAAAGAATAACGATGGAGAAAATGATGCTACATCAACTGAGCCAATTGCTGGGATAAATTATGAAAAGACAGGTCTGCCTTCAAGTGTGGATGAAAATCGTACTGGAAATCAAAATAGCTTATTTGATCGTTTAAGGCAAAAAGCCGTCAATGGTCCTCTAGGAGATAGTTTTGCTTCCAGCAAATTGAATAAATTCGAAGATCCACCAACAATCGAAAATGCTGAAAAATCCACATCAACCCCAAAACTATTGAAGTCCAGTCTTAAAAGGCCACTTGCTGATAAGGACGATGGGCCTATTAAGTCAACAAAGAGAATTCGTTTTGGCACTGTTGAGATTAACACAGACGGAACCCGTCACTCATATCCAATATGTGACGAAGAAAAACGTCCAAGTTCACGTCACTTGCAAAAATGCCTTGTCAATATGGAAAGGATTCCAGATGGAGGACTTCAATACAAGAACCAAGAAAAAACTGGGAACCAGGTGAATCGCACTCCTACAAACACAATAAAGAGGCCTAACCCAAACAAACAATTAGCGAGGGAAAAGACTACTGCTATTGATAAAGAAAGTCACAAGCATGTAGCTTCAACTTGTTCAATCAGTACTCAAACAATCCAGGATAAAACGTCTAGGGACACGGGAAATGAGAAAAGAGGTGTCAGAAGAGAGGGTAATAAAACGAATGTGTCTTCAACGGACAAATCAAAAGCTCCCAGTCACTCGAAAAAGGGTCTTAACCCATCTTTCAGAATGAATGCTGTAGATAATCAAGGGCTTGACAGAGCTGCGGGGATCAGTGCCTCATGGCATCATAGAAAAACAAGAGACGAAACAGAGCTTAATGAAACTGTCAACCGTGTTCGTGAAGCCCAACCATTACAGCGTGGACCAGTTGTTATTGAAACTCCATCAGGATCCCGTGGGGGTAGAGGAGGAAGATTACATGTCCCCTCACATGTCTCTGATGAAGCAACTGGARAGCCAACTGATTCCCTCAAGAATTGGAAGCCACATGGAGGGCCTAGAAGTCGAACTGCTCAAAGTAACCCCTCTTCCGTTCAAAACATACGTCAACGGGCTGTTCAGCAGGCCACAACAGATAACATTCATAGATTAAGAAGACAAAAAAGGACCTGCCCTCGACTTGGAGATATTCATCCCAAAAAGAAGAGAAGGTAGACAAATGGAATTACGAAATTTAAAGCTGTTTCTGTTTGCCAGAGTTAATGAAAACAGCCGTAAAGTTTGAAATTCAGGGTTAATACTGGAACATTCACTGTAAATTCTAAATGCATATTTTTAATTATTGAAAAATAAAAGTCAAACAATTGCCAAGTAGAATATTTTAGTGTTATATTTACATATACCCTTTGAAATGTACAAACTCTCCCTCAAACCACTTACAAGCACGGGCGCAAAGTCATTAAGCCATAAAATCAATTTAGTTTTGCTACTGAAGAGGGGAGACTGACCTGGGTTCCAGAGGGATTTTTTCCGTGGATTTACTGCAACCCAGGGTGAGGGAAGACATGCATAAAAATACAAATACAGGTCTTTTTAGATTCCATTTTATTTTTATCTTCCTTGAATGCTGGTATTTTTTTWAAATTGAAATTATTGATGGGTATGATATAAACGTGCTCAATTTTCAAAACCATCTGAGATCATCAGTACTTGTTGTTTCTCTGGTGGAAGATGTTTCTTGTGTGTTGGTTGGCTCTTCTTTTGTTTGTCCTTTCTTGGGAAACATGTCTGGGAACTTAAAGGTACCTTCAGCCTGCAATCAAAATTAGTTAACGTTTAAGAATTACTTTTACAGGAATTTGAAGTTACAATAGATCTTTTCTGAGATGTACGAGTGTTATCAAAGGTATCGCATGCTCAGAATTAAAAAACAAGGCTTTTTTGGCCAAGACTTTAAAGTAAACTAACCCCTACAGGATGCCTTCATGTTTTATAGAATAAATAAGAATAGTGTTTACTATTCTCTAATGTCTCTTTTTGTTGCCGAGATACTGTATTCAATGTAGACTATAAAAATCATCAAAGGACTCTTACAACTAAAAAGTTAAAGCTTCAAATAAAGAATTTCTCCATGAGAATCAGCACAAAATGGCTGAAACTTATTTTGATTATAGTGCTGAGTAAAACAATCAGTTTGGTATGTTTGAAGGTGTTGCCATGGAAACAACTTCCGCCCCAGGCTCTTTTCAAGAAAATTAACCAAATTCTATTCTTTCCTTAGTCTTTTAAATGCTCTTTTCATTTTAGTGATCTAAGAGTTTCCATAATGAGTTATATTTTTGTATAACAATAAGAAAAAATATCAATTTCTTGAGTTTTAATGACTTCACTACTACTACTACTAATAATAATCATGATAATAGAGTACAGACACTAAGGTCTCATCCAAACTATGCTGGATAAATTTGAATCTGAATTTTTATTTATTTGGTTAGGTCTACCGTCCACACTAGTGCGGGAGAATCCAGAACAATTCTTCACCGAAAACGAATTTTTCGAAATGGAACCAAATAACTAAAAATTCGGATTCAAATTTATCCGGCATAGCGTGGACGGGGTCTAAATGTGTGCAATAGTTATCAGTATTTAACAGTAAATACCTGTAGCATTAATTAAACAAAAGAAAACGATATAATTAGCATAAAGAAACCCTATTTAGTGATATTTATGTTGCACAGTTTTAGTGTTACTCTAACAGCAAGGAGCAAATAACTATATTTTTTTAGCTTGGAAGTGGTTTTATGTGAGTCATTCACATATYTGATTTACTGCCAATTACTTGACATTAAAGGAACTCTGAGATTCAAAAAAGTTTATTAATAGCTTAAAATGCACATCAAACCTTGCTGATTATGAAAATCTAAATAGAAATTTGAACAAAAGACTATTTTGATATTTTGTGATATGAAACTCTTGCTCCACGATCTGACATTATTGTGCCACACGCATCCCAAGCTATCAAATCTTAGGAAATCCACAGGAAACCCAGTGCAAGTTATTCTTTACTTTGACCATCACCACTGATACAATGTAGCTTAGTCAATCACAACAAGTGAAAGACCATTAGGTTTAGACTTGATAGAATAAACCCCTTGCAACAATTCCCATATACATATGGGGCCAGTAGCCACTATTTAGAAGTATAAACATTCATTTTGGTCGTTCCACTGGGACAAAACACCAACGACATAAAACTAAACTTTAATCATCTTTTTATTTTTTAGCATTTTGAAAATAACCCAACTTCTAGTGAAGATGAAGTCATGTTCACTTCAAAACTTTTCACTAATTTTCCATTTGAAAATGAAAGCTTTGCAATAATCTAGCCACCAAATTAAATACCATGATGTAGGTTTAAACAATTATAGTTTATCGGCAAAAAGTTTGAAAACCCATATCAGAGCTATTAATTCAGATGCAGAGTAAGAATTAGTCCAAATTATTATATTGTTCTTAACCTTTCTGTCCCTCTTTTAAGCAAAAAATATATATATAAATTCTAATGGGAAACCTTACCATATAAACCATGCATTTCTGAATAAACTCCAGTACATTCTACCCTTTGATTGATATCAAAGATGGCAAGAATGTTGTATGTGAGTCAAATTGAAACGTTGCTTCAAGAAACAATTATTAGTGATTTACAGACCCTAAGAAAGATATTAAAAGCTATAAAATATATAAAAGAATTGGTAGAAAAGCTTGCTTATTTTGGCAAGTGAATACACTCACTTTTTAAGTAGAGAACAGTTTTGGTGATGATAATGATTTATGATTTATATAGTGCCCTTTCTATGTAGATATAATCAAAGGTGCTTTACATTAAGTGTGAAATTATGCCATTGCTTTTTATGCAATTTACAAACATGAGATTGTTAGTATGAAGTGTATAGGCACTGGGGGTGGTCACTGCCAGCGTTTCTTTACGTCCTCAATGGTTCTTTTATGGTGGCCCATAACTGTCACGGCAAATCAAAATTCACACAGCACTACAAAAGATATTCACATTAAAATGACCAATCGTCACGGCACTACACAATATTTCACGGCAATATAACCAATCTTTGCGGCACTACGCAATTTTTCACAGCAAAATAACAAATTTCACAATAACACAGCCGAGGTCTTGATAATTTATGATATTATGCAATAACCAAATTCAATAATTGCTTTATTATACATTTTGTATACTGGAAAAACATTAACATGAACATTAAATTATAGAGATAAGRATTGAACGCCATAATGTCGTGTGAAAAACGCAAAATTTTTAATTCACAAATATTTATTTCAAGAGTTCTCATAAAATATATGAAAATAAGTTAAGGATTCCTTGAATAATTGTTTTTGTACATAATACTGGAAATAAATACACATAATGAATAAAAACAAAGCCACCACAGTGTAACCTTGAATGAACTTGACATGATAAATGTATTATCTGTAGGAAAACCTACAGATAATACATTTATCATGTYGAGTTCACGTGATATCAGAGATTGGCTGAGGGCTCTCGACCAATCAGAATTGAGATACTTAGTAAAATGTATAATAATAGTCATTCACTAATTCCAACCACAACATCAGGGGTGATGTATTGGTATTGCACACACCTCTCACGTATGGGGTCTTGGGTTTGATTACTGGACTCAGCATCACATGTGAGTAGAGTTTGTTAGGTCTCTCCCTTGATT